ATTTAAACTCCTAGGGGATTGAACTGCCCACGCAGTGTGATCTCAACCCCCTCCCCCTCCCTCAGTTATGGCTCCTGGCACCCCAAAGGGGGTATTTATTTCCCTGGCCCACGTGTCTCGACAGTCTGCTGAGAAGTCCTCGACCCGGCTGCTTTGAGATACCAGCTAAGTGATTTTGTGTATTTGTGTGGTAATGTTTGATTTTATCTGTGCTGATGAAGGAATCATAGCCGCAAAGTTCACTTTTTGTTCGTATTTGTTATATTGTGAAGCTTGCTAATATACTTTTCGTTCGGTTTTATAAATTCTTGATATTCCTAGCCTGCAAATTTCGGGGCGGATGACTTACAATTTCTAAAACCCGAAACTTCCTCTCTCCCCTTCCCCAGCCATATACCGCCTTAAAGGATGATGAATACAAGCAGTAATGACAATGATACAATGGCGTGATTACTGATCGACTATTTTGTCCTTTCAATAAATACGACTCAATGAAATACTTTCTTGGAGTAATTCATATAAATATAAAAGGTATTGAAAATATAAAATGGAGAATGACAAAATGAAAGTTACCATAGAAACAGCATAAACATTTAGTGAATTATGTTTGACAACAGCATCAAGGGGTTTTCATACACAACATTATACGGTTCAATAATATACATTCAGGGACACCCATGGCAAAGTGTGTCGAAACAAAGAAAACGTTGGCTGTATGAGGTAATAGGGCTACTAAGCCTCTTTTTTTCAAGTGGTGAGGAGGGCATAATTAAGGGTTTAAAGTCTTGTTTAAGAGCCTAATAACAATAATACGGTTTTGAATGAAACAGAAATATAGTATGGTCATCATCAGGTAGCTGGTCCTTTGCAGAACGTCACTTTTAACACGGCATGAGAGTGTCCAGTTTTCTTCATTACCTTTCTTAAATTCATCCTTTTTGATGAACTACAAGAATAAATATTCAGTTAGCATAATCGTGCACCAGACACTGAGACATTTCCTTGTCATTTAGAGAGCTCAAGGAGATCCTAAACTGTAATACACTAGTCATTATAGAATGATTAAAGCAATGCACAAGTATAATCGCCACTCTTAGAAGCTGATAGACTGACATTCAAACCCGCCAGGACATCACACCCAACGACAAACACCCAGTGGCACAAAGTACCACCACTCGGATGAGGATCACCCGGGGACAGGTCCCATAAAATGTGGTTCAACCCATAGGTTTGATTATAGTAGGGCCACCGTCAACAGCCAGGGTGGGGCTTTAAACCAATCAAAAGTTGCGTCCGACAATGAGAGGCAGTAATTGACACTCATAGTGCACAGTAGCTTTTGAACTGAATTTTTGACGCAGCACTGTGAGCCGTGTATTTATTATAGAATGTATTTCGTCTGTGTCTGCAACAATTTGTTTTGTGAT